GATTTGTTATATACTATGGGTAAAATGTGAATGTAGATATACAATGTGTTATTGGTAAATTCCTGGTTCAGTGTTGTAATTATTACGATTACTCACCTCTGGGCCTCATGATATCATAATCTGGTAATCTTTATGCGTCACAACCAGTAATTTATTTAATAAATTAGTCTCATTACAAGTTTATGTCATTACAAGTCGACAAGCAATGACATAATTAATACATTAAGTGTGGATATAAAGCGAGACTTCTTTACCTTAGACCTACTCACATTTAACGTATCGTCATTTCACCATGAATTATATTACTGGTGTCTTTAACCCTTCTAGCTTGGTCACGACCCAAGGTGTTTTTAATGGCTTGGCTGGATTCGTAATGTTATTTAGGCCCGATTTGTTCGTTCCTGAACTGGTAAAAGATTTTACTGCATTAAAAGAACAATAAGTGTACATTATAATGTCGTTTTATTCATCTCGTGTTATATCTAAAATAGGCATCCTTCGCGTCTGTCGTTGATAAGCCGGCAACCGTTGTAGCATACAAGTATTCTGGAGGTATTAACATCATTTCTAGCATCACGAAAGTTAACTTTTCGCGCAACTAATTATTTCATTTTGTGATTCGTGCATGTAAATTAAATTTAAAGCCCTCTTGGTATGTATGAAAATTCTGTGAACGAATTCTATCGTATTATAATCTATAATATTTCACGTATGCTTGTTATTTGGTTCAATCATCGCAGGTGGCACTCGGGCACTATCAGACTTTTTCAGGATCTAAGGGCGATCCGGCTTTCGTTCGGAACACACGTACTACAAATTTTTTCTTTTTATTTCATTATAAAAAGTCATTTAACTTTATTTCTCAATTTTACAGTACAAAGTCGCGTGGCCCTGCTTGTCCTCTGTGGTGCACTAAAATATATCTACGATCAAATGCCTTTTCGTATTATCGCTTTCTCCGCCGTTGATCTTGGGTTGTCACTCTTGTCGTATCTTACAATGGAATCTTCATCTGGCACCGGAAAACGGACTCGTCATGAATGAATCACGTGAAATATTATAAGGAATAGGCGTTGACGTCTTTTGCATACTTAATTGTTGAAACAAACGCATTTTTTTTTTTTGTTAAAACGTCATGGCTTTACCAAAATCGCAATAAAATTTTATGAATTCTATTTTGTGTTTGTATACAATAAGTGTGGTGAATTATAGAAAGGACTGGTAATTAAATGATTAAATAAACCAATTTGCATTTATGTAATAATATTTTGTCATATTTCAAAAATTTTGTATTATTTAACATTAAAAAAACGTATAAAAACATGAATAAAAAGTTAATTAAAAATAATTATTAAAAACAAACATAATAGTATGGTTTATAAATCAATTATAAGTAATTTTATATAATTTAAATAAATTTTTTTTAAATTAAATATATTGAAAAAATTTTAAATAATTTTAATTACCTATTATATATTTAAATATGTAAATATATATTGTATATCATGTAATAAATTTAATTGTTTTTGATTTAAAATTTATTTAATAATATATTAATAAAATAAAATAATAAAAATCAAAAAAATTTTTTTATATTAATAATTTATACATTAATATAAGATTGGAATTTTATAATAATAATAAATTTTCTTATTATTATAAATAAATAAATATATACTTAAAATAAAATATATATGTTGAGTATTAAAAAAAAACATTTGTATAATTATTAATTAATTATTATTTTTTAAAAAAATATACAAATAAGCTTACATATAATTACAGAATCAGAATTATAATAAAATTTTATAATTTTAATAACTATAAAAAATTTATATATGTTGTTAAAAATCATAGATCCTTGATGCAATTGATATAATTATTTAATACAATTAATTAAGTCACTATTAAAAAATATAAATAATTGAGATATAATATAATTATTTTTAAGAATTTTGAGAATTAAGTTAACTAAATAATTTATACAATATGTATAAAAGAATTGTAACTATATAAAAGATTTTTATTATAATATCTTAATAATTAAAAATATATTTTTATAAATAAAAATATAATTATATACAGTATATATTGTGATTATATAAAAGATAACCATATAAAAGGTCAATTATATATATATATATTTATATTTAATAAAAAAATTTTTAAAATTTTTAATTATTAAAATAATAATAATAATAATATAAATTTAATTATTTTATAAAAAATATAAACAATATAATATAAATAATAAATTTTATATATTTATATATTAAAATAATTTTATAATTAATTAATTAATATTTTATTTTAATTTTTTAATTTTTTTAGTTATATTGATTTTTTTTTTTTATTATTGTAAAAAGACATTGAATACAAACTTTATTAATATATATTGATATTTAAATTATATTAAATATTTTTATAAAATAAATTTACAAATTAATATTAACCTATATATAATGTCAACTATTATTACTTTTAATATATTTAATATATATTAGATTAATTCTAATATTAAATAGTTAATGTCTTTCCAGAGTTAATATATAAATCTGTCACATTATATAAAAACAATATAATCATAATTCTCAGGTTGGTTTTCAAACTTATAACTTGAATTAATATTTATTAATATATAAATAGTATTATATATAAAACAAAAATAAAAAAAACACTTTTTTGATCATGTTTATTTTGTTAAAAAATTTTCTTTTATGATAATTTTTGTCAAAAAAAAATGTTTTACACTCTTTATTGCAAGTAAGCCCTAGCTCAAGAACTCAAAAACTTTCAAGACAACTGGTGCAATGGAATGGAACCTCTGGTCGAAGTCTACACAAGTTTGGAAGTCTTGCTTATCCTTTGGTTGCATGAGGAAAGGTCTGTGGCAATTCTCTTTTTTTTTGTTCTTTTGTACCTCTCCTTTCACCTATCATAATATAAAAACCATCTACATCAATATTATTATACATATTAAGTCAAATACTTTCCAAAAAATACACCCAAATAGAGTTATTGGATCTATTATATGTTTTAACACAACCTTTACACACAACCTTATCATAGTGACAATTACTATATCATTTCAAAATTTCCAAAATTTTTTGTTCAAAAAACTGAAATCAGTTT